CATGCCTGATAGATGATAGCCATTCGAAGGCAGTATTTTGTTAGGATCTAGTATTAATTTGAGGCGGATGGGCTGGATGAGTGGCCGCTTACCAAGCCTGTGGTAAGCTCCCCACGCCTTCACCAACCGTGTTCTACCCTTAGGAGACGGTAAATTAGCAGCAGACTCGTCTGGGAGGATGAGACACTTGCACATCAGCTGGCCCCGTAGGTCATTGTATAGGCCACATCACATTCAATAGGCCACAACTGTTCTGTGGAAGTAGAATGCCTGCCGCATCCAAAAATGAGATGATAAGCCATGCTATCCTTTTATTTTGAGTGGTGTGGCTTCTAGTTCTAGGAGATTTTCAAACCAAATTAATTTCTTTCGCCTTAGAAGGCAGCTGAGGAATTAGGCTTCTAATTAGTCTTAGGAGCTTAAAGCCGTGATGGGCAAAAAGACTCCTCATTGGAAGCAATTTTAGTTTTTTTTTGCAGTGGAAAACAACAGGGCACTTTTAAGATTGTTATTCAAATGTGTTGATTGCTTTACGGCTGTCAATGCTAGTGAATTGGCTTAATTGCCACTCCAGTGCCCCTTTTATCTCCGGAAAGGTCAATATTTGTACTTTTTGGAATTCGTTTAGTTGTTCGTTGCGTGTTTCGGGTGTGAAGGGGACCCGGAATCGGTTGCATAGTTGACCCGAAATTACTGCCATTGAAACGGACTACACATCAGCTGATTTCATGGGTTTCTCGTAGAGGAAGCGACCCGTTTCCTGAAAATTCCCTAGCGGCGTACGACGGAAGTAGGCGATTCTAATTTACTGGCGGCAAATGCGGGAGCGGAATTTTTCCGTTTTTATAGCCATGATGGATACACTGGCCTTAAAAATGTATGGCTTTTGAATCAGATCGGCGGCAGTGATGACATCTTGGTTGACTCCGTAATGAGATTTTGGTAATTCACTCAACGAGAAGGAGTCAAAATGAAGTTGACGAAATAGAGCATATTCAAAATTTGATCTCAGTGTGCGACGGATTTTCTAGCGACTAAAGGGATTTCTAAGACTGCAGAGGCAGCTTCAGACCATAAGCCGAATCATCACAAATGCATCGCGAGCCTTTCATCCATGCATAGCGTGGAAAAGCTGGCGCCAAGACAAAGAATGCACTTGATTAGAGGGGAGTCGTTCCTTGGAATAGGAAGCTTTCATCTATCAGGGCTCACACGGAACTTGACCGTCTCACTCGAGAACCGTGCACTCAGGGTTCCTAGACGGGAGGTTGGGGTCAAATTTTGTCTCCTTG